CCCCCCCCCCCCCCCCCCCCGACGATGTGTACAGTTGCCAACATGCACCCTGACTCCACCCTCTCGACACGCCCTGAAGTGTTCGCGTAAGAAACTGAGAGGGGCACGACGACCGACATCATCTCATGTGTTCATGGCGGTGATATGGCGTGTGTGTTCGTGCAGCAAGAGCACCTCCATTGGGAGCGAATGGCTGATGTCGAGCAAGCGCGGCAACAAGGGGGACTCTGACATCATGTCGGTCCTCTCCATCACTCGGCATGTACACGACGTGTACAAGTTGATGGTCCACGACAAGACCTTCGACTCACGCATCGCCATGCCAAAACGACTGGAGGTGCTTGTCAAGCAAGACGTAAGCCGGGCGGCCGTACAACACACCCCACACTCAGAGTGGTGCATGTCGTTTCTGATGTCTCCCTCTCCCTCTCCCTCTGTCGTCTGCAGGGGCTCATTCCCCTTCTCCAAGCCTGCCTGCGCTACTTCCTTCTCCTCACCACGGTGTCCAAGCAGCCCCCCGACCCGTCCAACTCAGCCAGCAAGAAGGCCAGACGGACTTCAAACATGTCCACAATCGACGCTATGGAAATGGAGCGGCGAAGGTTGTCCTACAAGACCTCGTACGCATCGACGATGTTTCCGATGGGCCGGAAGGGCGAGTGGAGCCCGCGGACGCCGAAGCTGAGCGAGGGGGGGAGTGCGATGGATCCCGAGCTGATCGGAGAGGTGGAGAGGCTGGGGCTGATCGATGAGATGGAGATACTCAGGGAGGGCCTCATGAAGTGAGCGATAGGGGGAGACGGGAGGGGAGGGGTGTGTATCATATTCATTGATCAGCGTGTGTTGATATATCGGCAGGTCGTATGCTCTCATGCTGTATGAGAACCACAAGTGGGGCAGCAGCATGGGCAGCGACCAGAACTTCTTTGAGAGCTTTGTCTTCCTCCTCTCGCGCATCCTCGAGCTCTCCTTCGACCAGAAGTACCATCCGCTGATACGAGAAGAGACACAGCGGTAATTAACCCCGGAGAGACACCAATACTCACTTACTCACCATGTCTCCTGCCGTGCCGACAGCCTCTTCCGCACCGACTTCTTCAACCCCTTCAAGCGATCTGAGGGCACCGGCGGCCGTGGCGGCTCCGCATCTCGCCGCTCATCCCCTGGTGCAGCCGACGATCGCATGTCCGTCACGTCAACCATGTCGGCCTCTCCTCCGCGCACCATGGATCGGCAATCGTCGATGCGGAAGCCGTTCTACGTGCCTGAGCTGAAGGAGGGCAACGAGACGATCAAGGCCATCGTGCAGGGGATATGGGAGAGGGCGGCCATGCGGAGACAGAAGGTGAGGGCAGCGGCGGAAGGGTATCCGTGTGGGGTCATGCAGAGGGACCTGCTCGAGGGAAGGTCGCCCCTGCTCTCCTCAACGCTGCCCACCATACACGAAAAGATGGCGCAGCTTGGTAAGTGAAATGAAACGCGCGGCGGTGTTTCAGTGCTTTTCATGACCATCTCGGTGGCCGGCTGTCCGTCTACTTCTTCAGAGGCGCGACGGAACCTTTGGTACCACGACGCACAGGGCGGCTTCACACCTCGGCGACACAGAATCGTGTCGTCCTTGTCGAGCAGGAGCTCCTCTTGCACCGAGCGTGAAACCGCCGTGACAACACGCAGAAGCCGACATGTGATCCAGACTGGCTTGTAAGTTGCAAGGACCACGACAATGGAAAGAAGGCCTCATGCTTCATCCGTGTGTCTCGTTTCCGTTTTTTCTTTCTTTTTGTCTCTGCAGCCACATTCCCGTCAAGGAGACGCCTGAGGGTATGTCTCCTGCTCCCTCCCCTTCTGGCCCTCTCCCAGCTGACAGCAGCATGGAGCCGTCAGGCCCCTCCCCCGACACATCCAAGCCGGCCCATATTTCATTCAAGGCAATCGACGCGTTGTTCGATGTCGATGAAGACGACGAGGACAGAGACTTTGATCTCTTTCCCTCTCGGGTGCATCTCCCAGTGGGCCGAGCAGAGAAAGCTGTCGAGTCAGCCGCCTTATCCAAGCGCCCACGGCCAGCCGTGTCGCTCGCTGACGAGTTTCGCCGAGTGAGGGGGCCCAAACTGAGCACCACTAGGGCGAGCAAGGCGGCGGTGCTGCTGCCACTGGAGGCGCGTGAGGGGGAGGGACGGTATTTCGATAGGATGGGCTTGCGACACGTATGGGCGCGGCCGAAGGGTGAGGAGTTTGCTGAGAGATTGGCTTTGGAAAGGCAGAGGGTCAGGCCTGCGTACAGATGGGCGGTTGGGGAATATGGAGGGGCCATGACAGCCAGATGACAGATGAGACCGGTTGGTTAACTGGTGCCTTTGCTTTCATCTGTGTGGCTCGCAAATGAAGGACACTGCCATTGGCTTACAGTTGGCTTACAGACTCATCACTCTTGCACGCTTCGGTCTGTTGCTTCTGGTGTGAAAAGCAAAAGCTCTGAAGATTGCAGTGTGTGATGGTCTGCGTGGTGTATTTTAGTCGTTGATCTGTTGCCACCTGGGTATGTGTGCGGGTGCGGCAGGTGGCCGCTATAGGGGGCCCTGTACAGAAGTCCGCAGACACATCATTAGTGCAAGCATTCTATGCATGAAGTGACTTGCCGTCCACATCCACGCACACTCACCCACACACACTCGCCCACACACATTGGCTTGCGTCTGCCGACAGAGATGCTCTCTCGCACAATGCCAACACAACTGTCACACCTTCGCACGACGCACACTGGAGTGTTGAGTAGATACATGAAACGGGCGACGAACTACTGGATGGACACACACAGACGTACACAGACTAGACCGAGAGACGATACACGCACAACCAGCCACAGCCAGCCACCGAGCTGGTTCAGACACAGTCGCTATGACAACGCGTCTGAAGGGATATGCCTGGACACTCCCTCGTCCTCCAGCAGCAAATCCAGCACCGTGGACATGCTCCCCGTCACTTCGATGTCGGGTATCTTCTGCCCCGCATGCCACGGTATGGGGGCGATGGGATTCTTAGGGGTGCCGTCGGCGTTCTTCGCTCCGAACCAGTCGCCGTCAGGAAAGAGGGTGCCGCTGTGGACCTTGTCGTTTCGCCACTCACCGTCAAACCACATTACAGGAGTCCAACCATTCCAGAAGGCCTTCCCCTGGCCGTGCCGCTTGCCCCCTTCCCAGCCCCCCGTGTACATCACATCGCCACCACAGAATCGGAGCTCCCCCTGGCCGTGTGGTTTGCCATCTAGCGTCGGGCCATGGTATCCTAGGCTGTAATAGAAGGAGGCATCCCACTCCATGCCCGTCGCTTCGCCAGGTCCCTTCTTTTGGCCGTCGACCCACACGCCCTTGTAAGTCACGTGGCCGTTTCTATCGAACTCCTCACCCCGGCCGTGCCTTTTGCCATGGCTCCACATCCCTTTGAAAACCCGACCCTGAGTGTCGCACTCTTCGCCCTCGCCGTGTCGTTTGTCGTCCGCAAAGTCGCCAATGTAGACCTCGCCTTCACCGTAGCGCCGCAATCCATACTCGACGCCCTTGCCGTGGTACTTGCCGTCTCTCCAGTCTCCCTCGTAGACCTTCATCACCTGCTGGTCATACCGCCCATATTTGATGCCTTTGCCGTGTAATTTGCCGTCTTTCCACTCGCCCTCGTATCGCTTCCACTGGCCGTCCAGCTACCGCAGCAGTCCCGTGCCGTGGGGCACCTCGGTGCCGCCCACTCTGCGGATGGAGCCGTGGTAGAGGCCGCCGTCGTCCAATATCGTGCGCGCCGCCAGGCTGTGGGCGCTCTCCTGCTCGCGGGTCCTCAGTTTGGCCTCGGCCGCCTGATTGCCAGACCGACGAGCGGAATTTGGACAGTCGGCGGACTCTTTGGCTTTTGGTGTGTACCTCACAGCGTGTCTTCCATTCATCCCGCTCTGTCCTGAATGCGTCCCGGTCTTTCTTGTATTCGTCCCTTTGGTTTTGGAGCTCCTCAATCCGCTTGTTGTGCTGCTCTCGTTCCCTGTCCATCGAACGGCGTTGGTCTGCACACACACACACACACACACACGGCATCGACCTGTGTGTCGTTCTCCGCGCATGTCTAGCCGCCTCTGATGTTATTCATCACAGTCCCTGTACCGTTGATCACGTCCCAGAGCTTCTCCCCCGAGATGGTGTCGCTCAAGGCGCCGGTCAGACGTCGCGGCAGCGACAGGCAAAGTGACGACGAGTCGCGGCTTGCTCGACAGAGATCGGTGCCTGCGGTGAACAGGGGGACAGCTGGGCGCCACCGACAGGCCGACAGCGACGCGCAGGAACAGACAGGCCTCCGCACCGGTCACTGCATGCCAGACACACACGGCACATGCACACTCCCGTCTGTTCATCGTGTACACACATGACATCTCCTGGCGTACTTCTGCGCTGATCTTGATCGTGTGGGCTGGATCCTCTCCTCTCTCCAACCACATGACGCACCGAGGCCACTGCCATCTGGTCCGCCTCGGCACGACGCATACGACGATGTGCGATTCATCGTGTGAGGCTCCCGGCCTCTCCGGCTGAGCACACGGCAGCCACGGACGTTGCATGGAGAAGCAAAAGCGCCCTTTCGGGGATTGAATTCGCC